ATCAGAGCTGAGGCTGTAAGGCCAGGACTGAGACTGAACCAGGCTGGGAATTGTCAAGAACTTTGGTCACCAGACCTGGCTGCCCTTCAATTTCTACTGGCTCTTTCCACATGTCCCTAATATTGTCTGTCCAAGTAAAACCACTACTCTTCCCAAACCAGGATACTTCCCAGAGCCTTCAGGACTGGTATCTGCTCAGTGGGACTCAGTCCCAGAAGAAGGTGTTAAATCACCCACTGTTTCATTTTGCAAACTTTTTATGACTTGGTGACAAGTGAAACTACATTCTGACAGCAACTGCAAGTTCCCTAGTATCCAGTGACTTCCCTTTTTTTCTTGAGACTCTCCCTCCCGTTAAATCACAGACCCATCCATCTCCAACCCCCAGAATATAGCCAGAAATCACGATAACACATCTTAACTTGTGAGATGTGCAGAACAATTCTCCTCCTGCAAGCTTAAGCACCAAACGGAAGTCACTTTTTCTCCTTCATCTTGAATGTGTTAGTAGACTCTGAACTGGACTCTAACAACATGTAGGAAAGCAGTCATGGGCAGTAATTCTGGGGGACACAGACAGGACCAGCCCTCCCTACGTAAGGTGGACAAGGAAGCAGAGCTGCCTTTCTTTCCCTTCTTCTTCTCCACATACTCCCATTTGTCCTGCCTCTCTTGGTCTCAGCTGGCAGTCACTTCGAATCAGCAGTGGTGCAATCCAACAACTAAGAGATTAGTTAATAAATGCTGACAGCGCAGCCCTTCCTGGTCATTCATACATATTAAAATAAGGGGAAGATTTTGGGGCAGGGGCGTATGGGAAATCTCTGTACCTTCCTCTTGATTTTGCTGTGAACCTAAAACTGTCCTTAAAAAGAGTCTTAAAAAAAAATACAAGGGATGAGCCCTCCAAGTGGAAAACCCATTGAGCTGCACAGGAATGATGCTATCATGGTGGAATTGTGCATGCTGCATTAACGCTTTGGAGCAAGGGAGAGCCCTTTTCTCCCACAAGCAAATGCCAGCCCAGGCACTGACACTAATGAAGATCCATGCTAGCAACAAGCAGCGGGCAGACAGTGTCACCAACCTCTCTTTACACATACATTCCTACCCCCGCACAACTTGCCCTTTTTTGTCTGCCAGAAGCAGAAGATCTGTGGTTAGGTCAGGACCCTCCACCCTCAAGGGCCATTTGCAGGAGTTTGATTAATGACAATGACCATGCATGGGAAGGCTGTGGACTTCTGACATAAAAGCACTTAGCAGAAGGCCTTGAAAAAGGTCAAGGAGCAAGACACAAGCTGGGCTAATTATCTAAATCAAGGGACCTAGTTTGGGGATTTTAATGTTCTCAAAAAAGAAGAAATCTCCCTGCCCCCCGCCCCCCACTTTGTGCCATAAGGCATTTTCAACAAAACCCAGACTCTCATTTCTTCAGAGGGAAAATGATTGGGACACCGCATCACTGGCACAGTGGTTGGCTCATTCACAGTCCCTTCATAGGCAAGACACCAGGTGAACTGATAGAGCAGAGCTGGAAGAGTTCTCAAAGGCAGAGGCTCTAAGCTAAGGAATGTTAGGATGACCTAGCATGTATTGTGGGATTACTGTGTGCTAGAGGTTTTGCACACTCTATCTCATTCTGTCTTCACAACAGCACTGTAAAGGGGAAGAAATATTATCGCCCCAGTTTTATAGGTGAATAAACAAGGGCACAGACCGGATCCTTGGTGTAACAAACAGATCCTTGATCTAACTTCGCCAGGGTCGAACAGCTAACAAGTGGTAGAGCTGGGCTTTAAACCCAAGCTGCAAGACCCAAGGGTTTGTGCTCTGTCAGATGCCCTGCCATAGAGAACTGTGTCGATGGCACCAAACCATTGAAAATTAAAGTGTGTGTATATTTGTGTGTGTGTTGTGTACACACACATAAGCCAACAATGTAAATACAGAGATTGCTACAACCCAACCAGGTGCATTGCCCACTGTTCAACAGGAAGCAATACACTGAGACAGCAGGGTTTACAGTAGAGAAAGAGTTTAATATCGCAGGTACCATGTGAGGAGATGGGAAGAATTTCTCAACTCCATCTCCCCAAAAATTTGGGAGAAAGGGTTTTTAAAGATAGTTTCATAGCCAAACGGCTAGGCGATTGGGTTTGCTAATTGACTAGGTTTGGGGCAGAACCACGGAGTGCTGCGTTGGTTCTTGGGTGGGAGTCACAAGACAGTTGAGTCAGTTCCTTGGTATGGGCCACTGGTCTGGGTGGGTCAGCTGTTCCACTGGAATTCAGGGCTGGAAGACATCTCAAAAACTAGCCTTAGGTTTCACAGGGTGATGTTATCAACGGGAAAAGTTAAGAATCTTTACGATCATCAGCTATGTGACTCCTGAGTAGCAATTATAGGAAAGATAACTAGGAGATAGTGGCTGGTTATTATCATCGTTTTTAGCTATGTCTCCAGGGAAACTGTGGCCTTGGGGCCACATGTGGCCCTCCAGATCCCCAAGTGTGGCCCCTCGACTGAATCCAAACTTCACAGAACAAATCCCTTTATTAAAAAGATTTATTCTGTAAAATTTGGATTCAGTAAAAAGGCCACACTCAAGGATCCAGAAGGCCACGTGTGGCCTCAAGGCCACAGGTTCCCTGCTACCAGCCCTTACCATAGTTCTCGACTTGCACCCCTTTATTAATTTGTAAGGGGCAGTTTCAAGGTGAGTACTTGGGTAGCTGAGAAAACCTCTCCCAGACTAGAATACAGAGGATTCAGTTGAAAATACTGGGGATTAGGCATTACGTCTGGGAAAAGGAGCCAGGAAAGGAAGGAAACTTACTTTCCCCTGTATGCCCTAAGATCCTGTTTCGACATTTTATCATGGACACGTACTGCCTATTTAAAAAACACTTTTTCTTGAAAAGATAAATCTGTATATTGTGTTGTGTCATGAAGTTCAGGTATTTGAAATTTACCAAGTAATATTTTCTAAAAAACAGATATTTGAGAAAAAGCAAAAATCCCACACTACAGAGGCCTGTCACGTCACACGGGAGCCAGGAGATAGGGCTTCATTCGGAGCAGGAAAGAGAACTCAGTTCCGGAGTGCCTAAGTTGCTTAAGACTCAAGAGCACTAAAAGTGAAACCATTCAACCATCCTCCCCCATTTTCATTTTCTTTTCTTTTCTTTCCTTTCAAAAGAATAATTATTTCTATAGGGATTTTTAAAATATTG